AGACTGGTGGGTTTGAACTGCCAACCTTGTGGTTAGCAACTTAACACCTACTACTCAATGCTACCAGGGTTACAACATTATTTGGTTTTATTTTATATGCAGCTGATCTTAATGCTAATTAATATAAAATGTATTATTGTTAAGTGTTGTCCAGTTGGTTCCAACTCATAGTAACCCATGATATATAGCATTTTCAAGGCTGTAAATCTTTTCAGGAGCAGAAAGCCTCATCTTTCATCCAAAGAGCTGCTGATGGGCTAGAACGGACAACTTTGTGGTTCTCAGTCCAGTGCTTTTTCTACAGAGCCACAATGTTCCCAATATAAAATATAGCTAATAGAAAAAAATATATATACAAAGCATCCAAATTAAAAGGAAATTATCAGACATATAAGTATGCTTATACAGATACAAAGATCTCACAAAAGGTCACATCATGATATATGTTTTAGGTTGCAACATAATGCCTTGTTATGTCATATAGCAATATAACAACACATAGTATGATTAAACTAGTATCAATTATATCTTTCATCTAAAAAAAGTAACCCAACCAGATTCCTATTTAAACAAATATCAATTCTAGAATGAGTATCAGTGATGCACCCAAATAAAATTCTAAAGGTTAAAAATAAGACAATAATGAGAGTGAAGCATCCAGCTGATAGGAAGTGAGGGTAGGTGCACAAGAATGCTGAAACTTGCAGATAGTACTCATTTGACCTAGCTTTGATGGTTTGATGATCAGAACTTGACTAGAAGAAGATAAAAAAAATTTTTTGATAAAGGAAACAGGTGTAAATTGCTACAATTTGAGGAACTTGACCTATACTTATGGATGTAGTAGCGCAAAATACCAGCTGAGAGGGAAGGAATTTTCACATCAAGAATCAATCCTGAGAAAGGAATAGCCAAAAGCATCCCCATAGAAAGCTTGTAAGTTCATCTTCTGCCTATAAATGATTGGAACACCTAAAATGGGGCTACAACATGCCCAGTGAAGGAGGCTTCCTGCGGAGCCTCTGCAATACATAAGACTATAGGTGGAAGCCTGAACCACATCCAGATCTCCAGAGATGGGAAATTCCCACTTGAAAAGACAAGCAGACCAGCCTGGAGTGGCTAGAAGAATAGAAGATACTTCTTGAAAGAAAGGCCTTACAGGTAAAATATAAAACAACATAGGCAGAGAGACTGTTACTACAAGAACAAGCAACTTGCTTGTCCAGGAAACATCAAGGCAAGTGGTCAGGTCCCCTCAGTGCAAACCCCCTTCCAAGACAAAGACTAAATGGGAATACACGCTTTGATTGGTGATCACGCTCATCACTGATGAGGGGAATTGAGGGAAAAACAGCAATGAAGTGGCAAGCTAAGCCCTACAATGTTCAATAGATTTCTGTGAACCCAGGTGAAGACCTGGTTGGCCAGCAGTGTGGCAAGACCTGGGGATTGTTGGGCCCAGAGTCAGTGACATAGCCACAGAGGACTAGAGTGGAGAGTGAAGCCTCCAGCTGATAAGAACAGAGGGCATATGTATAAGAACACCCACACTTGCAGATAATACCCACTTGTCCTGGCTTCAATGACTAGATGATCAGAGCTCAACCAGAAGTAAAAAGAAGAGGATAAAAAAAAAAAAAAAAAGTATTCTCATACAATTTGATGAACTTGACCTACACCTATGGAAGCAGTAGTTCAAAAGAAGGAATAAATCCCTACAGCAAGAATCATTCCCACCCCCTCCACACACAAAGTAGACAGGGATGGGCAACTTGGACATTGGCTACCCAAAATGGGGGGTGGGGGGCTACAAAGGCAAGAAGTGACTGGCTTACAAGCTTTCATAGGGAACCTAGATCCAGAGGGCCTGGAGGAAGGTAGAATCTCCAGTGAGTAGTATCCAATCTGTCTAGGTGGGGCTGATGCAATGAAATGCAGACAGGTCTCTTGTGATACAATAGTGAATAATTGTTATCAGGACTGATTGTGAAGGTTGGAAATGTAAAGGTAGACATTTTATAGCAAGGAGGGGGGTGATTAACTTCTCATTCTAGGAGCAGAGGTCCCTAGGACCATCAAGGGAGAAGAGCAGAGAGTGGGACCCTACCAGAGAAACAGTGATGCCTGAAATGGAGGCAGAGATGATGACATGGAGCAATGGAGCAGCTAGAGACTTTAGATCCAGAGAGCGAGAGTGACTGTGTGCTGAAGACCTGGGGAGTACAGGGGGCAGGATTGCAGGGTATACCCTTTGGTTGGTTGATGATGCATGGAGGGGATTATAACCATGGCAATGAGACAATATACGATAGAATGAATGTAAAATTAATGCTCTCCCATGTAAACTATCACATAATTCACAATAAAACATTTATGAAAAAAAAAAAAAAAAAGAATCAATCCTATCTCCTCTGTATACAGGGTTGATAGGGATGGATAACTTAGACATTGTCTACCTAAAATGGGGGGCGGGGGAGGGTGGGGAGCGGAGGAGAAGAACAAGGCGTGAAGTGACTGGCTTACAAGATTTCAAGAGCGAGTTTAGTTTCAGAATGTGTAGGAGAAGGTAGAATCCCCACTGAATAGTTTTCATCTTACCTAGATGGGTCTGGTGAAAGGAGATTGGGATAAGATTCTAATTAAAAAATGAGCAATTGTTATTGTGACTAATTGCGATGGTTACAATTGTAAAGGTAGAAGTTTTGTAACAAACAGGGTGGAGTAGTTAACCTTACATTCCAGGAACAGAGAACCCTAGGACCATCAAGGGAGAAGAGCATGAGCCAGAGGTGAGGACATAGAGAGATAGAGCAGTTGAAGACTCTGGACTCATTTAAAGAGAAAGGCTGTATGCTGGCAGTTAGGAGTCAGGCTTGCACAATATGCCCTTTGGTTGGTTGTTTAATTGATTATATATTCCTGAGTGTTTTTGTGTACATTTAAAAAAACACATAGATGGAATAGAAGCAAATTCTGTTGAATGATGATGCAATGAAATGATTTTAAAACCAATGTTCTCCCATGTAACCCATCATTCATTCATAATAAAAACGTTTATAAAATAAAAATAAGATAATAGAAAAAAGCAAATAATGTAGTAGTTGCGATGTTAATATCAGACAAATTTGATTCATATAAAAAACAAATCAACCATCAAATGGTGAAAACTCTATAATACCGAAGAGAGCAATTCACAAGGGCCATATAATAATAATATAAAGAGCTATGTCTCAGATTCATAGAGCATCAACATTGTCAAACTATAGAGGATTCAAAATGAAACAGGTAGCAAATCACTTTAATTCGCCAGCTCAATGTATATCCAATTACACAGACAAAAAAATAAGTAATGATAAAGAAGATTCAAATTAAAAAGTTATTTCAAAACAATAGAATTTAGTTGATATAGCTACTGGTGCAGTCACCAATTTATGAATAAATATGTAGATTCAAATATTTATATTAACAAATAAAAATTAATGAAGCATCTAGCTCAAAGAGCTAGAGGAAAAAAGAAAGCAACTTTTAGGAAAGCAGAAGTAAAACAATGTAAAGATAAATTTTAATGAATTAGAAAACAAAGAGCACTAATTGTTTTTTTAAATCCAAATACCAGTTATTTTAAACAAGTTTTAAAAAACTAAACCCATAGCTAATCTTATGAAATAAAGGAAATTTAAAAGCAGAGATAAATGCACATAATAATGAATGATAAGTGAAATGTCACAGATACAATTGATACAGAAGTAACTTTAGGATTTATAAAGGTTTTATATATTGCTATAAAACTATAGTAAAGATATTTTATTAAATGAAGTCTCAATGTATAGATCAGTCTGTATAAAAGCCACCATTTGGATAACAAAAGGGGGTGATACCTACATATGTATTTGCTTATATTTTTTTGTATTTGCATAAAATATCTTTTAAATCAATATATAAAAACATCATCCATATTAAGTTGCCAGTGAGGAAATGAATTGGATAGCTGGGGACAGTAGCTAGGGAAGATTTTATACTTTCATATTTTGAAGATTAAACCCTATGAATATATTTCCCAATCAAGAATTAAAAAAACAAAAACAAAAAAACTAATATAACATTTCAAATGGCTACCTTGAAAGATTGTCTTTTTTCAATCATTCTCTCACCTAGGACATACCTAGCTTTGGAGGTGTCCAGGGTAAGGCCATTGGTTAGTGAACAAGCAACACATAAAAGTGTCTATCCTATGACTAGTTCTCTACATATTTAATGATTTTGTTCTTACAATGCTTTATCTAAAATCTTTCACCATACTAATGAGGTATAAAAGCAAATTGGCTTAATATTGAAAAGGTATCACTTTAAAGTAAGCATCTGTAAAATACAATCAACATAAAATACTAAAGATTATTCACCAAACAGGAGAGCTCACAGCTCATTTTTGAACTTTTTAAAGAAGGTTAAAGGATGAAATATGCACATATAATCAGAAAGATGTTGTTGTTGTTAAGTGCCATCGAGTCAGTTCTGACTCACAGGTGGTGGGTTTGAACTGCAGACCTTATGGCTAGCAATCCAGTGCTTATTCTACAGTGCAATAGAGGGAGCTGAAAGTTCAGTCATAGCAGTTTATCCAACATCATTACTTATAAAATCATTTGGTGGCACTCCCATAAAAGACATATTTAATTAAGCCTATTCTTAAGAATCCGAATCCCCCTTAATCTTCTACTCTTCATTAATTTAAAATGTACTCAAAAGAGTTGGGAATCAGTTAAAGCCAGCAAAAAAATAAATAAATAAATAAAAATAAAGCAAACCCTTTTGTCTAAGGTACAAAATAAATTATAAATTCACCTGAGATTCAGTAAAATCTGTACAGCTATTTTCTGGTATCTTAAGAGAGGTCTAGCTATACAAACCAGTGCTTCTCATCAGCTTTAAGGCTAGTACTGGAAATGTGCTCCCAAGGAATTCAATTTCTTATTAGTGGGCTTGATTGAAAGTCATACCTGAGCAGGTAATTTTGGCTTCTTCATAATGATCACAGGAAAGTCCACCCCACTGCCAATTCTTGCAGTCCCACAGAGAAGTTTCATTTCCATCACAACTGTTTATGAACAACCATGTGTTTGTGGCCTTGACTTTGGAAAAATGTTGGTAGGATGTTTTGAGTGCAGTTCCACATCCCAGCTGCTTGCAAACCACATTGGCTTCTTTCAGTCCCCAGCCTCTGTCACACACCTTTCCTACCAAATTCTGAAATTTCACCTCCACCGTCCCAGCACAGTGGCTGCCCCCACCTACAAGTTTCAGCTCCAGATCTGATCCATCTGCAAAAAAGACATTAACTTAGGTCATAGGAACGTAATTGCAATTGGCTAATCAAAAGATATTTTGCGTTTGATACTTACTGATATAAAACCATAGCAAAGATATATTTTATCTTTCTCCTAAAACACAATCTCATGGCTTTTTTAGGAACAGTAATTGTTGTTAAGTGCCATCCAGTCGGTTCTACCCTATACAGGGTTTTCCAAGGAGCAGTTGGCGAGTTTAAACTGCTGACCTTGCAGTTCAAAGTGACTTTTCGGTCCAGTGCATTATCTTACAGCACCACATCAGGACCATAAATTTAGAAAATAGTTTCAAGGGTTAATTAAATTGTTGAACATATGAGTAAGTCACATATAGAAGAGTAGCCGATAAATGCTGGTCTCTGTAAGTTCCAGGTAGATTTAGAATTCTAAATGCGGTCCCTAACAGCAGTCGGAGTCTTTATTACCAAAAAGAGAATCAGACAATCTTCCAAACCAGTCAAATAAAAAGCATATTAAAGATTAAAACAAACCTGTTGCCATCGAGTTGACTTTAAGTCATGCAACCCCATGTGTTACAGTATAAAACTTCCCCATAGGGTTTTCTTGGCTGTAATCTTTACAGAAGTATGTTGCTCCAGGACTTTCCTCTGTGGAGGGGCTGAGTGAGTTTAACTTTTAGGTTAGAACTGATCACAAACCACTTTAGGATTTTTCCTCACACATCTCCCACATATTCCTACTCCTAAAAAGCATAAGTTCTCCCCTCTCTGGTTTTCTTTTCTTTTTGTTTTGTTTTCACTTACCAGAACATATCACACCAGCATCTTCTTTATGATTGCAATAATGCTTTCCCCACTCATGGTGTCTACACAGCCAGACAGCAGATTCATGCCCTTGGCAGGAAACATTATCAAGCCAAATAGGTCCAGATCCCTCACTGGCATTAACTCGGCCGACCCCGACCATGGTGTGTGGACAGCCCAGTTGTTTGCAAGCCACAGTAGCATCACTACTGTCCCAACCATCATCACACACCGTCCCCCATTCTCCTTGGAATTTCACTTCCAGTCTTCCTGAACATTTACTGGTTCCATCTGCCAGTCTCAGGCTCAGATCAGCTCCCTCTATAACAGGGAAACAAAACAAGTCAGGGATAAGGAAACAGGAAGAAGGGTCTATAAGCTGCTGTGCCTGAGATGAGTAAAGAAAGAAGAAAGAAAACAATGATATGCCACCACTGAAAAATGTAAAGATAGAAGAGTGAGTTGGCAAGGAAGATAGAATGTATGACAGCACATTCTACAAAAAGTTCCAGGTGAAAACAAGACATCCAGGGGCTGAATTTTAACTAACAAAAAAGAAAAAATGAGTTAACCATTGAGAAGATTCTGACTTATGGTGACCCTGAGTTTCTGTGCCCAATTGGGTTTTCAATGGTTGTTGTTTTACAGAAGCAGATTTCTAGGTCTTTCTTCTGGGGTAGCTGTAGGGCTATTTCACTGCTAGCCTTTCCTTTAGCAGCCAAGCTAAATCTTTATCTAGAGACATACTTATTTGTCTACTACTGAGTTTAATGGTGGAATTGTTTACTTTTTCTTGTTAAGATACATTTGAATGTCTTTCAGTGGTACTCATATACTCCAGTTTGCCTCAAACCTTACCACTCTCTTGTCTTTGATTGCATTACCTATTTATATTACCTGTTTTTTATTTACATCTAGCCCCTTGTGTGACCACTTCCTTAGTTTGTAAATGAATCAAAGAGAAGAGACTTTGCCATTATTGTACTTACCTTCTCTTATTCCTTTAAAATATAGACCTGGATTCTGAGTGCTATCTTGTGATAAATAAAGGTCTTTTTCATTAGACAGTTTCAGATTTTGTTATCACAGTACTTTTGATTGTGATGTCTCAGCATGGATGAAACATATTGAGAAGTAATGTGCTGATTAGAGAGTTTTTAGTGGGTAAAGGAAAACAGAAGATACATATTCTCTTTTTTCCTATCTAAGATACCTTTCATTTACTTCTGCTAAAAAAATCCAGCTTTTCTGTAGGAATCCCATTCTTTGTGTTTAAGGCCATGAACACTCAAGCTGTTCCACCTGAAAAACTATTTAATAAAAGGAGAAAGAGATCAAACACTGATGACATTGTTTATGTGCCTGAATCTACCTGTGCCTGAAGCTATCTTTATCTGCAGATTTCCTAGTTTTGTGAACCAGGACTTTGGTTTTCAAATTAGTTTGAGCTGGGTTTCCTTAATTTGACAGGAAAAAGAAAAAAGATACCTAGTGAAGAAAGGGGAATTATTTTATGTTAATTATATTTTCCAAAATGTCCTCTGGGATTCAAGATCTGCTAATCTCCTTAGAACTAAGAACTTCAGGGGAAAAAGGGGGAGCGGTGCCCCTGCACAAAACATTGGTTTTACCCCCTGATCTAAGTGCACAGACATGGGACATATATAGTTAACTAGGACTATGATCTTGACAGAAATGAAATTTTAATAGGAAACCAAAATGAATCTTTTTTTTTTTTTTCTTCTCCACCATATGATTCAGTGAATTTGAATTAATGACTTGGGAAGGATTAGGTTAATGTAGCTAAAATAAAAGACTTTTGTGGGTTAGAGGATGAGAAGGGGACTGGTAGGTTCTTAAAATTTCATTCAGAAGCAAAATTTACTAGTAAATGGTGAAATCCTTGAGACTATGGCTCTTATTGTTGTTGTTGTTGTTGTTAAGTGCCATCAAGTCGGTTCTGACCTATAGCGACCCTGGATAGAGTTTCCGAGGAGCAGCTGGTGAACTTGAACTGCCAACCTTGCACTTCAAATGGCTTTGTAGCCTGGCGCATTAACCCACAAAGCCACCTCAGTCAGGCTTAAAGTTACTTACTGCCATGGCTCAACTTTCTACCAAACAATAGATGAACCTATAGGTGAACAATAACATCAAGGAAGTATGGATCCCTGCATCCAATCAACCATATGAGATCACAAGGGTAGCAACAGCCCAGGGTTACATCTCAGAATGCAGGCAGTGATAGAAAAGGACAAACAGAAACAGTAAACAAAGGGAGGAAGTGAGAAGAGTGCTTTTAGAAGGACAGCATTACAATCAATGTCACGTAATAAAAAGTGTATGACTTGCTCAATGGAAAACCAATTAGCTTATGTAACTAAATCATAATAAAGAGTAAATACAGCACACAAAAAAATTTTTTTTTTTACTTGTTAAGCTTTGTTTCTTTTCTTTGACATTAGATTCCTCCCTAACCACTCCCTTCTATCCTCATCCTGAATCTGTTTCACTGTTCGTCCATCCTCTCCTAACTTATTTATTCTAATTTCATTTAAGGTTAAAACTCCACAGCTGTCAAAATTGTAACCTGAAATGAGGCGATCATGAGTTGACCAAGGAAGCAGATTTCATTACGTTCTTAAGAGTCTGAACTTGGATGACTGTTATTCCTTTCTTTTGTACTTTTATAGAGAACAGAACAAACTTGGATCAGTCCTTACCTAAGCAAATCACCCCAACATCCTCAGCATGATCACAATTATGTTTTCCCCATCCTTGGTGTTTGCAATTCCAGAGAGCTGACTCATTTCCATAGCACATGAGATCATCAAACCAGATTGGTCCAGAGCCTTCTCCAAAACTAGCTGAACCAGAGAAACTGACAGCACTTCCACATTCAAGTTGTTTACAAACCACAGAAGCATGATCTATGTTGAAGTTATCATCACACACTGTTCCCCACTTTTCTTGGAATTTGACTTCTATTCTTCCTAAACATCGGTTTCCTCCATTCACCAGCCTCATCTCCACATCGGATCCATCTAGAGCAGAGATAAGATCAAAGATCAGAGTGACATTCATTCAGATGTGATTTTAGAAAATAAGGTTCCTCGTTTATTGAGTTTGGATGCTGCTGAGTCCCTCATATTGCAGAACTTCAATTTGTTGAAAATAAATTAATAATTAGGACTTTCATAGAGATTGAATTACCATGGAAAATACATATAAATTAAAGCTTCCTTTCTATTTTGTACAGTTTCTTTCCATTATTTACACAGAGCTAAACACTCTATGTAGAAATAGATCATTTGACTAAAATTATTTCTTTGAGAAACTAAGAAAAATATATTAGACCATGTAACAAAATGGTAAAAATGAGAAGTCATTATTAGTGAAACATTCAAAATCAACATTTAAATCATCTCTATTATGAGTTCTGATGTGGCACTATAGGATAAGCACTGAATTGCTAATTATAAGGTCAATGGTTCAAACCCACCAGTCACCTCTCAGAAAACCTGTACAGGGTTATGTGAGTCGAAATCAACTCCATGGCACTTAACAACAACAACAACATTAGCAACACTACAGAGCTATAGTGAATACTTGCCTGAGGTTGAATTAGAAATTCAAAGGTGGAAAACAGCATTTAATTTAGCATATCTAAAGATAGAAATGCATGAGTACACATAATATTTGCAAAAAGACCCTGATTGTATACAAATTTCCTTGAAATGGGAAAAAATCAATTGAAAGAACTCATTTCTCATCAATTTTCAGTTTCAACCAAAGTGCCCCCCACCCTGCAAAAGCACTGCATACTATTTATACAATAAGCAGCTTTTGCATACAGAAAATGTTCTCTGCATACTCTCTTAGGTTTTCTATAAGTGTTAGATAACCAAGAAAAGGAGATTTGGGAGACCTGAAAAATAAAATCTGTATGTGGCTGAACAAATTGTTTTAAAATTGTTCCTAGCAAAAAATATTTCAGTTTTAAAGGGTTTAAAATCAAAAGTCAAAGACCTCCACTTACATGAATTTTGGATTCTGGACTAACAACAGTAGCTCTCAGTCAAAATACCTATCCCTTGTTTCAACTACATAACACAAAGTATCCCTTTCAATCTTCACAACAACTTTCAACATTATGTACTATTACCAGTATGCCCACTTTAGAAATAATGAAACTGAGGTTATGTGATTGGCAGAGTTAAATTGCAGTGCCAAGACTAAAACAACAACAACAAAAAACTGGCATCAGAGTCTATACTTTGGATTATTATGCTTTATGGTCTCAGTGCATGTGATATTAATAAAATCCCCCAAGAAATAGAGGCTCAGAGGATTGAGCATCAATCAGGGTAGAGAATTTCAGAAATGTAGACTCTTCATGTGTCTACATTTGGGTTCTTTTATGATGCCCTAATTGAAGGAATCCTGGTGTGGTGCTGTAGGATAAAGCACTAAACGACAAGGTTAGTTTGTAACTCAAGGTCATCAATTCAAACTCACCAGCTGCTCCTGAAAACACTATACAGGGTTGCTATGAGTCGGAACCCATAGGTTAGCACTTAACAACAACTGAAGGTGTAGGAGCTCTCATAGTGTAGTGGATTACAAGCTGGGCTGCTAACTGCAATGCCAGTAGTTTGAATATAACAGACACTACATTCAACATGGGGCTTTGGGTTCCTGTACAGATTTACAGCTTCCAAAACCCTCTCCAAGGTTACTGTGAGTCAGAACTGACTCGGTGGCACACTACCACCACCACCACCAATTGAAGGTGTATGTTTTTCAGGAAGCAAGTTTGATTAACTCCATTCTTAGATTTAAAAAAAAATAAAACAGCAATAGAAAACAAGAATTGAAAGCACTACATAGATAGCAATACATGTGAATGCCTCCAAAAATTTATTGTAATTTTTAACATTGTGGTATGTGGCTTTTGTTAATCCCTGTCTTTTCTCCCATAATGATTACGAATAAAAGGCTAGGAGAAGGAGGAGAAAGAAGAAGAGGAAAAGGCGGGAGTAATAAAACAAGAAGAACAAGCAGAAGTAGAAGATGGCAGAGGATGATGGAGGAGAAGGGGGAAGAAGAAGCACATGCTTTTTGTATCATCAATGCAATGAGAAGCAGAGAACCATGGGAAATCTAACTTTATTTTTTTAGCACCCATTGCATATCAGTGAATGTACCACTAGCTTTACATTAATTATAACCTTGAGTCCTCAGAATCTGAAGTTTAAGAATATTGCTCAAAATCATAGCATTGATGATGGCTGTAATTAACTTGAATCTAGCCTGCAGTGTTCTCCTTATACCACAATGCCTGGGAATAGATCAGCTTTTTTTGCAATCAGCCTACAGGGCAGGTGGTTTCTAACAGAGAGACTGGGAGGTGAGAGGGTTTTGTATAGGTCAATGAAATTACCAAAAGACACATTGTTGTTGTTGTTGTTAAGTGCCATCAAATCGGGTCCAACCCATAGTGACCCTGGATAGGGTTTCTGAGGAGCAGCTGGTGAGCTTGAATTGCCAACCTTGCAGTTCAAATGGCTTTGCAGTCTGGTGCTATAACCCACAGCACCACACTAGGATGCCAAAAGAGATGTGGGGAGGCCCAAATATGAATAGGGTCAGAAATATGACTTTTAGATTTGTCATTTGTAAGGCTTGATACATAGCTTTCTAGATTATCCTGAGGTAAAACTTAAGAAACTGAGGTAAAAGTTAAGAAAATGTATGCAAATTAAGTCTACTTTTCAAATCAAATGAATAGTATTGAATGCTGGGGAAAAAAACCCCAACCAATTTTAAATTGTAAAGCATCCTTCCTCCAGCAAAGGAAGAAAGTACTAGTCTTAAGCATATCTGCTTCTTAGAATTCAGTAAATTGATTATTAATGAATGGACAATGAAAGGCAATGCTTTATGGGTCAATACACTAAAGTAGCATGTCATTGGGAAAGGAGACAAGGAATTCACTTAGATATTAATTTTATCTAGGAGTAGGAGGTTACATTAAACCTAAAAAACAAACCCACTGATGTCCAGTCAGTTCTGACTCACAACAACCTTACAGAACATTGTAAAACTGCCCCATGGAAGCAGATGGCTCCATCTTCCTCCCACAGCGTGGGTGGGGTTGGAAGAGCTGACCTTCTGATTAGCAGCTGAACACTTATCCACCACACCACCAGGGCTCTTTAGGAGGTTACATTAGGGTTGCCGTTGTTAAGTGTTGTCAAGTCGGTTCCGACTCATAGTGACTCTGGATGGGGCTTCTGAGGAGTGGCTGGTGGGTTTGAACCACTGACCCTACAGTTAGTGCTTATCCTACAGAGCCACACCAGGACTCCTACCTTAGGGCTTGTTGTTGTTGTTAAGTGCCATCGAGTCAGTTCCAACTTGTAAGGACTCTGGATAGGTTTCCAAGGAATGCTTGGGAGTTTGAACCACCAACCTTGTGGTTCAAATCGACACTGCAGTCCAGGGCTTTATCCCACAGCTCCACACACACAGAATACAAAAGTCAATCGAGTCACTTCTTCATTGATTATAGAGTCCAGAATCTCCTTGGACTGCCGCCTTATCCCAACCCCCACCCCATCCCCCACAAAGACTGCCACATCTTCTCTTCTAGCAAAGGATTAGGTCATTTTATGCTTGGACTAGATGGTTACATAAAATGGCTCTTTTTAATTTTTAAACCTCCTGCATGTTTACTTTTTTCTACAAAACAGTACATCTCAAGGCTTTGATTTATGCAAGTCTTACCTGAACAGGTAACTCCAGCATCCTGTTGGTGAGTACAGTTGTGCTTTCCCCACCCATCATGTTTGCAGTTCCAGAGAGCCGATTCATTCCCACGACAAGAAACATGTTCCATCCAAATGCGTCCTGAACCTGCACTAGAGTTAGTCCATCCAGTGGCTTTGATAGCAGTTGGACATCCCAGTTGCCTACAAATCACAGAGACTTCATCCATGTCCCAGCCATTGTTACACACTGTTCCCCATTCCTCTTGGACTTTCACTTCCACTCTCCCAGAACACTTGTTTTTGCCATCCACTAGCCTCAGCTCCTTCTCTGTTCCTCCTGCAGCAACGGGTCAAGACAGCAATTGGTCAAAGTCACAAAAAAACAGTAGAGAATAATATTCTTTAGATTACTTTTTTGTCTTTCAAAGACAAATTTTAAACCCAAAGCTGGTTTCATTCATGGTACAATAGGAGACAGCTATTTCATAGACATTCAAGTATAAATAGATTCACGTTAAACAACGCCATGAAAAGAACTTAAGAACCTGGTGGTCCACTGATATATATTTATTTTCCCTCTTTCAATATTTTTTATTGTTCACCTTATAGACCTGTCTGTTTGGCTAAAAACTGAGCCACAATTTTATTTTTAGGGGGGATAAAATAGAAACTTTCTTGATGTATAATAATTGATAAAAGAAGCAAATAACCAATCAATATAGGAAAGGCATTTGATGAAAGTCAATATTTATTATGCAAAAAAATTTTAAATAAAATATAAACATTTAGCAAACGAAGAACAGACTAGGTCTTCCTGAACCTGATATATATATAAAAAAATGTATCTCTCAAAAATCTATAGGAAGAGGAAGCCGGTGGGAGTTTATGCGATTCTGTGACTCTTGGAAGATTCTTCAACCACTATGTCATCCAACACAGACGTTTCTCTTTCTTCATATGATGAAGATCAGGGATCAAAATTTATCCGAAAAGCTAAAGAGTCACCATTTGTCCCCATTGGAATGGCAGGGTTTGCAGCAATTGTTGCATATGGATTATACAGATTGAAGAACAGGAGAGACACGAAAATGTCCATCCACCTGATCCATAAGCGGGTGGCAGCCCAAGGCTTTGTGGTGGGAGCAATGACTGTTGGTATGATGTATTCCATGTATCGGGAATACTGGGCAAAACCTAAGCCATAGAAGAAGAGATGCTGACATCATCTTGTTAGTGTTGCTTGATTTCAGGTTACATGTTTATGTTGAAAATAAATCATTTGAGTGGGTTCATTGTTTTGAATATGGGCTTTCTTTATTGCAGACTTGACTTGCCTGGTGACCAAACTGCTAGTGCCTACAGCATTAATGAGGTCATTCAGGGGAATCAAGTTAGCAAAAAGATAGTGATAAAATGTCCCAATTCTTAAACTCTTGGAATGAAATTAATTCTGAAAAAGACAGCAGGCCAAAACTGACATATTTTCAGTTGCCGCAAAATATCACATCTCTGGATGTCATGTGACAGTCCAGTGTTCCCCAGTGAAACTTTTTTCTGCCTACTCTGTGGACTGGTTGAGTCCCTCAGTTTCTAGACTAGTTGGCTCTTGAACGATTTCAGAAATGTGGATGGAACATAACATAGTGTCCCCCATAACTGAAAATGTCTGTATACTTAAATTAAACCTAAAAAGCTGGTGACAGCTGCCTAGAAGTAGTATTTATTTTAGAATGATAGTTATACATATGAGAATAATATAAATTATGGATACCAGTTTAGTTCTTTTGTAACTGTAGAATTAAGTTTTGCTGTTGTCATATTAGAATAATTTCTAAATGTCATCTTGAAATAAATTGTGTATGTTAATTGCTAATCCAAAAGTAAACAAAGAATACTTAAAAAAAAAAAAATCTATAGGAAGGAAAAAACAAAATCCATAGCAAACAACATGGATGAACCTTGAAAACACTATTCTGAGTGAAAAATGCAGATACAAAAGGACACATATGATGTGATCCTACTTCTGTGAAATATCTAGAATGCATAGAGACAGAAAGTAGATTACTGGTGACCAGGGCCTGGGGAGGAAAAGAAATGGGGAGTTATAGCTTAATGGGTATAGTTCTGTTTGGGGAAATGAAAAAAAAAATTGGAAACAACTAATGGTGATAATTGTGCAACGTTATGTGATTGCTGCCACTTGAAAATGGTTAAAACGGCAAATTTTGTGCTATGTGTATTTTGCAATGAAAAACCAATCTGCAGTGAACATCACACTTAACAATAAAACCTAAGTCAGGAAGCAGACAAGGCAGCCCTATCACTACTGCTTGTATCCACCCTATACTATTAGTGATCCTAACCACAAATCGGGCTGCGAACCTTAAGGTCAGCGGTTCGAAACTACCAGCCGCTCCGCGGGAGAAAGATGAGGCTTTCTACTCCCGTAAAGATTTACACCCTCGGAAACCCTGTACAGGGTCGCTATGGGTCGGACCCGACTCGATGGCACACAACAACAACAACAACAACCAGGGCAGTAAAACTAACAAAACAAGACTTCTAGGGTATAGCAATGTTAAATTGCTGCTATGTTGGTAAAGGAGCAGGAAATGCACGGGGAGAGAGAGAACTAGAGATCAGATGATCCAGAGAAAACAAGTTGTAAGAGAAGGTGGGCAGAGATAGCTGCTGTTCAAGTCAGGCTGGGGCAGCTGAGATTCCTGTGAATCACCTTCTTTCCGTGGTAGTACTTGTGGTGCTGAGGGATACTGCACTAGACCACAAGGTCCGCTTGAACTGCAAGGTCGGAGATTCAAACTCACCAGCTGCTCTTTGGAAACCCTATATAGGGGTCGCTATGGGTCGGAACCGACTTGGCGGCACTTAACTACAACAATAATATTAAAGCATTTGCAAACTTCCATGTTGGTGGTTGATCGCTGCTGGTCAAAAGTGAGGCTCTTCTGTAGTTCCTTGTACAGCATCTAGATCTGAGATTTGAAGAGAACTTTGAGCTCCATGACGCTATTCTCCCTAGCAAAGGCAAGTGGGCGGTCAATCTCAAAGTCCTCAGCTGTGAAGGTCTTCATTAAGAAGCTGGGTGTCACATTGCTGTTCTCCACTAGCTTTTTCTGGCCAGGGGCAGCAATGTGCTGGACTTTGCAGCGGCTCGTGGGGGCAAGAGCAGATGGAGTGGTAGGCTCCTTCCGGTAGAATCTCTAGGTCAGGGACTTTAGGCCAGACTGAGCCATCTGTTGGCCATAGGGCCAAGGGTAGGCATTCTCCTATTGGGCCATTCTTAGAGGGGAAGGAGGAGGGGAGCTGGAGCCAGAGGCTGTTCTGACTGAGCCACAACATTTTAAATAAAATTCGGCATTTGACCTTATTGAATTGTTTCTAAAAATTCTTTTTGTCCTAACAGTTCTAAAACTGCATCTACTTTCTATTTTCTTGTACTTTTCAGCTAGGCATTACTTCCCATCTTATGTAATATGTATTTCTTCCTGAGAGAGCTTATTTTATTTTAGGAAGAATCGTACTGACATTTTGTTCATTTGTTTGTGTCCTATGATTAGGTTCTTATTGTGTGTTTTTTTCATATCGAATCCTTTGAATCCATGAGGCATGCTACCTAGTTTTTAAATGCCATCCAGCCCTCAGGAAGATTACTTGCATTTTATAATTTTTGTCTGAGTGGTCAAAGGTTGCACGTAAATTTTACAAAGTACTCACCAAGAGAACCAGTGATAAAAGAGGCAGTGAGGAGTGAGACCGCAGCAATAGCAAATGGACCTAAGGGGATGAAACATCTTCTAAAGACTGAAAAAAAGAAAAGAGGCATTAACCTGATTTTCTTAAAAAGGCATTTTGGAGAAGACATGTTTTCAGAGGGGATTAACAAAGAATTGATTCAAAAAGCAAAGCAGACAGGAAAAATTCATACCCAGAATCACAGTCTCAAGGAAATAGCTTTCCTTGTAGATACAGGAAACCTAGAGGTAACCTAGAGGTGGAGGATTAGAAGAAGGTTGTGGTGGAAACAAAAATCGCAAGAACAAACTGTAAAACTTGGAAAATGAAAAAAGAAACCAATATGACTTAAAGGTGGGCAGTTGTCTTTGCAAGCACAGAGCAGTTTTCCTGAGACTTCCACATTCCTTTACCCCCTCTATAATCAACTACTAACAGTCCTTTCTCCACACTTGCCCAATCGACCTATAGGATTTTAAGTTCCATTAGGGAATGACTATATTTGTCATGTTTTACTATAGTTTCACCAGTACATACCACAGCGTCTGCCAAATAATAGCTGAACAATAATGCATTGATGTGATAATAATTATATTTTTTAAAATTCAAATATCTTTTCATTTCCAGATATAACTTAAAATACTCTTAAACACAGTTATCACTCTCATTTCTTCTTACTACCTTAACCTAACAATAATTTTAAAAAAGTACTTGAACACCTAACAATAATTTTTTTTAAAGATTAAGAGTTTAATATGCCCATGTAAATCATGAAGATTTCAGAATCCTACATTTCTTTTAAGTGATCTACTTTCAATCAGTATTTATTCCTGTATGTTCTATCCTTTTTAAGGAATATTATTTTCATAGGAGCCTTGGTGGAGAAATAGGTCAAACAATGGACCCACCAGTTAAATCAGGGGAGAAAGATGAGACAGTCTGTTTCCATAAAAATTGATAACCTTGCGAACCTTATGGAGCAATTCTACTCTATTCTATAGGGTCACTGTGAGTCGGAATCTACTTGACACAGTGGAGTGTTTTTGTATTTTCTTCATATTTAATATAGTTCAGCTAATTTCAGTTCCTTAGTTAATTTCATTCAGTAGTTTTACTTATGATGCCAACCCTGATCTACATCTCTTATCTCCAATTTTGAATCTGTGATAAATTAAAGATACTGTCACATAAGGTTAATGTCCCTGGCCCATTCCTTCCATTTTCTCATTATTCTCATGGTATCAATCACCTTTAAATTACATACATTGATAGAAGAATTTCATATTCCATTAAAGGGTAAATGTAGAATAAATTAGAAGTTTTTACCAATAGATCCAGAGTCTTCAAGTAGTACCATCCTGTGTTTGTCCATTCCTTGGTTTTATGGTTCAATGATTCCTAAATTTTCTTAGCTGTTTTTTTTTCCCCCCTAGAAATGTTTTAAAGAAGATAACTTTCAAGGGTTCTGAAGTCTCCTCACTCCCACAAGAAATGTAAAGTGTACATAATGGAGGTGGAGTCAACTGAAAAAAGGGAAGTCATTAAAAGAGCTGAGGTTTCCTTTCATAGTCATGTTTTCTTCAATATGGGACATGAAGCAACCAAAAGAAACTGAGAAATAGTATTCCTATTTTTACAAAGAATAAAGAAAATATTAACTCATTTATTGTTGTTGCTGAATTGAATTGTTTTCTCTATTTCTGTATTACATCTTGTACTAATGTATGAGACATGAAAAAATACTAATTGTTACATAGTTAAATTATGTCAAAAACTAAAGCAAAATAGACATAAATACAATTAAATAATTAATGGTTTGTCATTTATATCTACCCTTAATTTTATTTTCATAATTTGATATTCCTAATGAGTGATTTGTGTGGTACTTGTATTACTTTTCTAATCAGATGATGAGCAGCAAGAGAACTAAGCATGAATATTACTAATTCCACAGATGATGAAGCAAGGATTAACAAGATATGATTTTAGTGCTAAATAACTCAAAATCAAGTAAGGGAAGCACATAATAATGAACACATGTAAAAAGTATGTTGTTGTTGTTAGGTGCCATTGAGTTGGTACCGACTTATAGTGACCCTATGCGCAACAGAACAAAACACTGCCCGATCCTGAACAAACCTCACAATTGTTGCCATGCTTGAGCCAATTGATGCTGCCATCTGGCCAATCCATCTCATTGGGGGTCTTCCTCTTTTTCTCTGACCCTCCATCTTACCAAACATGATATCCTTCTCCAGCAATTGGTCCCTTCTGACAACATGTCCGAAGTATTAGAGATAAAATTTGACCATCCTGGCCTTCAAGGAGCACTCTGGTTGCACTTCTTCCAACACAGATCTGTTGGTTCTTTGGCAGTCCATGGCACTTTTAGTATTCTCCTCCAACACCATAATTCATATGCATCAATTCTTCTATGGTCTTCCTTTTTCACTGTCCAGCTTTCACATGTGAATGAGGTTATTGAAAATGCTTGGGTCAGGTGCACCTTAGTCCTCATGTTCACGTCTTTGCTCTTCAGCACTTTAGAAAGGTCTTGTGCAGCAGATTTGCCTAATGCAATACATCATTTGATTTCTTGACTGCTGCTTCCATGAGTGTTGATAGTTGATCCAAGAAGAATGAAGGCCTTGACAACTTCAATCTTTTCTTCATTGGTAAGAATGCTGTTTATTGGTCAAGTGGTGAGGATTTTTGTCTTCTTTACATTGAGATGTAATCCATCAAAGGCTGTGCTCTTTGAACTTCATCAGTATTTTAAGTCCTCTTCACTTTCAGCAAGCAAGGTTGTATCATCTGCATATCACAGGTTGTTAATAGGTCTTCCTCCAATCCTGATGCCATGTTTTTCTTCATAGAACCCAGCTTCTCAGATTATTTGCTCAGCATACAGGTTGAGTATAGGGGAAAATAAAGGACAAGATGGTCACATACGTAAGTTTGTCTTACCATCCAAACATCAATGAACATAATTTACTATATTAAGAAATTAAAACAGAAATTTACCACTTCAATTTTTGTTCCTGTTGAGTGCCATCAAGTCAGTTCTGAATTACAGTGATCCCATACAGAGTTTCCAAGGAGTAGCTGTTGGGTTTGAAATGAAGACCTTGCAGTTAGCAATCCAGTGCTTATCCTACAGCACTTTATAATTTATGTTATAAGCTTTTGACAAAACCCATTTCTGATTAAAAGCCTTTAGCAAATTAAGTATATAAGGGAACTTTCTATACTTAATAAAAAAATTAACTATGAAAAACTTGCCTGTAAGATCAGGAACAAGACACAATTGTTCATTCTCACCAACATGACACTATTCCACATTACACTGGAGATTTTATCCAGATCAATCAGACAAGAAAAAGAAATACAGGTGGTTCCCACATTACAAAGGTCTGGACAACACATGCTTGCTTTTAATGTTATGTATATTTACCCTAATTTTGAAACAACTGAACTAATCCTTACTTGCAATTTCTTCATCATCACAATAACTTTCACTTGCTCCACATACAGCTATTAAATTATTGAAAAAGCTTCAAGCTTTTCATGTAGGAAAGTAAGGCTATATAAGAACTGTATGCTCTTGTTTAGACTTACCTATAAATTTGACTTAAAGACATAGGAACAGATCTTGTTCATAATCTGGGTATTGCATCCATATTCAAAAGGAATACATAAAACTGATTGGAATATCTAAAATGTGGCTAGAACTTGCCCAGTGAAGGAGGCTTCCTGTGGAATCTTTGCATTGCATAAAGCCATAGTTGGAATCCTGATCCCCATCCAGAATCTCTAATGTGGGAAATTTCCACTTGAAAGGACGAGCAGACCAGCCTGGAGCAACTAGAAGAATAGAAGATACTTCTTGAAAGAAAGACCCACAGGAAAAATCAAAAACAATAATGGCAGTCCTATTGACTACTATAAGAACAAGCAAGTTGTTCACTGGGGAGCCATCATGGCAAGCGGTTGGGTCCCCTCAGGGAAAACCCCTTTCCAAGACTGATACTCAAGGGGAATATAAGAGCAGGCATGTGGTCTTGCTGGTGACCACATTGGTCTACTGATAAGGGGAAGTGGAAGAAAAACAGCAATGAAGTTGTGAGTTAAGTCTGAGCACATTCAATAGACTTCTGTCAACCTGGATTGAGCCTGACTGGCCAGTAGTATGGTGAGATCTGGGTACTCCTGGGCCCAGGAACAGGGACATGGTCACGGAGAACTAGAGCGGAGAGTGAAGCATCCAGCTGATA